TCCGATTCGTTAGGAATTGCTGAAATGGTGAAACGGGTATCTGAGCAACAAAATACACAGGCTTCTGAAATACAAAAAAGCAAGGAGGTGCTCACACAACTGCAGGTAATATTTTAAAAAGACTTTACGGTCCAGTAGAGCAGTGGCCTGGTGGGCACCAGTCAACTTTTTCACTGTTTTGAGTATTCCTTGGTTTAACTCTGAAACATTTTTTTCCGAAGTCTCAGCTTCAGGATCTTGAGATCCAGAGGAACTCGGTTGTAGCCGAAAGAAAGGCCATCGAAAGGCAGACGTATTTCTCTGAGGAAGCCATAGCAACCGCCAGACGCCACTGCGAAGATCTGGAGTCTCAAATCTCAGCCTTGCACGCCGAGAACGTGAAGCTGACTCGGGACGCCGAAGCTCTACAAGAAGAGTTTGAAACGAAGCTTTTAGGAAACCAGGCTTACTGTGAGAAAATGGCCGCTCACCGAAACCGGTTGGAGGAAGCAGAAAGTAAATTGCCTTTTGTAGCGGCGCTGAAGACAAAAAGGGACACCATCCAGCAACTGATGGGGCAGAAGAAAGAGCTAATGGCTTCTCTTCGGGAAACAGAAGAACAGGACACGGTTGGCCAAGTCCAGGTCTGGTTCACGGCCTTTGCAAATATTTTATCTTTCTCACCAAATCTGCTCTTCGTTTCTTCTGAAGAATACAGCTGATTATCAATGTATAGCAGGATAATTTGAGGAGGGGAAATAAATAAACACAGGTGGTCCTTGACTTATAACCATTCATTTAGAGACCGTTTGAAGTTACAACAGCACGGTCGTTTTTCACACTTATGACCATTGCAGCATTCCCAGGTCCCGGGGGTGTATGTGAAGATTTGAATGCTTGGCAACTGACTCATACTTATGACGGTCCCGGTGTCCCAGAGTCCCCTTTTGGAACCCAGAGTCACTTAATAACCGGGTTCCTAACTTAACGACATGCTGTGTATTGACAGCTTTGTCCGAAGTTACATTTTTACCTAAGGCAAGTAAGCATTATGTGTAAACACAGTCATTGTGTACTGTGTGCAATGATTCCCTTAACAACTGTGGCAAGAAATGTTGTAAAAGAGGGCAAAATCCGCTTAACAACTGTCTGGCTTAGCAATAGAGGTTTGGGGCTCAGTTGTGGCCGTTAAGTTGAGTACTACTTATAGTTAAGATGCATTCCCTTGTAAACTGTTCTGCACAGGTGCATGAGTTTTTCCCCCCTAATGTTCTGTAGAATCTGCCTTCCTGCAACTTAAAACCATTATTTTATGTGGAATCCTTGGTGCTTTCTGAGCCTGGTAGTTTTCTTGCAGATGTTTCATTACCCAAAATAGGTAACATCATCAGTGCTAAAAAGGAGTGGGGTTTGCAGAAGGCAAGAGGAGGAGGAGGAGGAGGAGGAGGAGGAGGAGGAGGAAAAAGACTGGGGTTCTTGGTGCTCTCTGCGCTTGGTGGTTATCTTGCAGACATTTCATGACCCAACTAGGTAACATCATCAGTGCTAGAAGGGTTTGGGTTTGTAGAATGATGGAGGAGGAGCACTGTGAGGTCCTGGGTGCTCTCTGAGCTTGCTTGTTTTCTTTCAGACGTTTCATGACCCAACTAGGGAACATCATCAGTGCTAGAAGAGGTTGGAGGAGGAGGAGGAGGAGGAGGAGGAGGAGGAGGAGGAGGAGGAGGAGGAAAACTGTGGGCTCCTTGGTGCTCTCTGAGCTTGGATGTTTGCTTGCAGGCATTTCATGACCCAACTAGGTAACATCATCAGAAACTATTGTATTTTCGGTTCAATAGAAAACAAACTTGGGCTGTGTTTTTAATCCGATATCCCTCTGATCCCTCCCACCCAGTCTTCCTACTTGTCTCCTTTTCTTCTTCCATGTTTAAACAGATCTTTTTCAGCTGAGAATAACCGTCTTTCGTTTCCAATTGGTGCTAATTTAAGTTTTCGGTGATAACTTCCACGTTAACAAAAACACGAAAAGAAACAATTAAAACCATTCTAATGATCAACCCCTGTGAACATTTCTGCTTTCGTGTTTCATGCCCTCTTCCCAAATATTATCAGATTTATTTTACCGTATCTCCATTCCTTTATATGTATCCCCGCGCAGGATGAAATCTTGTCTCTGCAAAATGAAATAAAGATTTTGAAAGAGGCTGTGGGTGAAATGGAGAACGCCGTTCGGGATGAAAAAAGCAGGCGTGCTAATCTTCAGAAAGAAATTGAGGTGAGTTTACCTGTCTAAAGCTATTGAGTCCCATCTAGCACCCTTAAATGGATGCATTTTTGAATAACAATAACTTTTAAAAGGCATCCCTAAGACGGCAATGTCCTTATCGCACAACTATAAAAGCAGTTAGTTAATTTTATCCCGGTATGAAATTATAAACTCTTGTCAAGTTAGTTTCTGTGGACATAGAACGGCTGTCCTTGTTGGCAGTTGCTGAGCAGGCAAAATTTAAAATGTTGACATCTGCATTCAGTACCTGAAGGTCACCTTGGTAAGGCCACCCTTGGAATACGGCATCCAGTTTTGGTCCCCACGATGTAAAAAAGATGTTGAGACTCTAGAAAGCTTCGTTTTTTTCGGTATTGAGAAAAATGGGTAGTTGAATCTCTATAGCAGGTTTTTCATTGGGTTCAGTGTTAGGTTAAAATTATTATTTACATTTGCTCGTCTTTGGGCGTTATTTGTATGTTTTCTTAGCTGAACTGATAATCTGGCTGACTTGAAAGGTAGACCTTAAACCCAAGAAAAATAAAAAATAATCTAAGCAAAGATTTATTTTGACCTACAAGTCTTGGATTAGGAAAGACAGTATAGGGAGAATTTTTCAGATTTATGTACTTTTATACCACAGTGATCCAAAACTGAGCAAGGAAGTATTCTAAGACCGCACATGGAAAGCTGAATTTGGTTTTGGTGACCTGGATACCTAAAAGATGTTGAGAACAACAAAGCTGATTAAGGTCCTGGAGGCTAAAACATAGGAAGAACAGTTGCAGGAATTAGATAGGTCTAATTTAACGAAGAGAAGGACGAGGGGGGACATGATAGCAGCGTTCCAGTATCTCAGGGGCTGCCCCAAAGAAGAGGGAGTCAAGCTATTCCCCAAAGTGCCTGAAGGCAGGACAAGAAGCAACGGGTGGAAACTGATCAAGGAGAGAAGCAACCTGGAATTAAAGAGAAATTTCCTGACAGAGCAATTAACCAGTGGAACAGCTTGCCACCAGAAATTGTGGGTGATCCAACCCTGGAGGCTTTTAAGAAAAGACTGGACAGCCATTTCACTGAAATGGTTATAGGGTCTCCTGCTTGAGCAGGACAAGAAGACCACCAACCAAGGTCCCTTCCAACTCTTGTTATCCCGTATTCTGAAGGATAAAATCGAATGCTATTTGCGTGGGATGTCTTAGTTTGATGGCTACTTATAAAAAGACGATTTCTGTTGAATGTTGTTATTATCTGAGGGGTTCCGTTTTGTGCTGAACAGATGCCCTGTATTTTATTTGCATTTGGTGTGTTTTGTACTTCTGAGCAGATATGCCCCTGGATTGCATTGTGCATTTCAGACGTGAGATTTAGTTCCATTTTAATAATAATAATAAAGTAATAAAGTTGGAAGGGACCTTGGAGGTCATCGAGTCCAACCCCTTGCTCAGGCAGGAAACCCTACACCATTTCAGACAAATGGTTGTCCAGTCTCTTTTTAAAAACCTCCAGTGTTGGAGCATCCACAGCTTCTGGAGGCAGGTTGTTCCACTGGTTAATTGTTCTCACTGTCAGGAAGTTTCTCCTTAGTTCCAGGTTGCGTCTCTCCTTGATCAGTTTCCATCCGTTGCTTCTTGTCCTGCCTTCAGGCGCTTTGGAGAATAGCTTGACTCCCTCTTCTTTGGGGCAGCCCCTGAGATATTGGAAGACCGCTATCATGTCCCCCCTCGTCCTTCTCTTCATTAAACTAGACATCCCCAATTCCAACAACCGTTCCTTATATGTTTTAGCCTCCAGTCCCCTGATCATCTTTGTTGCTCTTCTCTGCACTCTTTCTAGAGTCTTCCCAAACTGTTCAGCGGGTATTTATTCAGCAATACGTCCCGCTGCGCTCAGTGAGTTTATTCCAACTCCTCCCGTTGGAAAGCCGTATCGTATCACGCTGCAATCTGCAGATCTTTGCCGTCCCTCGTACTGTTCACTCGCTTTTAATCACGCAGGACTTTCTTTCTCAGCACTGTCCTTTTATTTTTTCTGGGAACAGCTGCAGAACAAGAGAGGCGAAGCGGTTTTCAGACGGCTGCGTTGCCAAGTTAACAACCTGGAGCTGGAGAGGAGGCAGGGGCGTTTGAAAGTGCAACAGCTGGAAGAGAAAGCCGAAGAATTACGAAAGCTTTGGCAAGCCACAGAGGAGTAAACCCATTCAAGGAGATCAGCTCCTCTTTTCCAGAAAGAACCGGTTAATGTTCTCGTTTTTTGCCCCGTTCATCAGACTTCTGTCTTTCCTAGTTGCGTTACCTTCGCAGTGGTGTTGTTTTTCCCGGCTGTTCTCAACCTCTAGTAAACTAACGGCCTTTATCGCGGGTGCAAAAGTCAATTTGCGACATGCAACCCGATATATAATCCCGCTGCTCTTTGATTTGCTGCTGTTTTGGTTGTTGGTCTCCGCACACTGCAGTTAGACCTTGCAAGGGTGATCTAGGGAGGCTGCAATTGATGCAGTGTTCATTTTACGGCACACTAAACGAGGCCTTGTGGAGAACTGGGCACCTAGTTTAATCCTTTAATAAGACAAATTGTGTTTGGAGGGAAGGGATCACTCGCAGGTTGAAAACACATCTTAACACATGGCAGTTTTGAAGCGTTCTTAACTGGAGCAGCACCTTAGCAAAAACAATTAAAGGCAAGGGGGCGTAATTATATTTTACGTGCCCGTGAGTGCCCTCGGATATCTTCAGCACTTTGGGGAGGTCAATAAATGCTTAGAGTTGTGGAGTGGAAAGGAAAGATGGATCAGTTAGGAGTTGCGTGATTTTTAACGCAGAAAGAGCAAGTTCAAAAACACTCCACAAGTCCTTTGGGCAAAACAGCTCCTCCAGCAAATTCAAAACAAGAGAAAACCAAGGCAGCAGAAAAAGGCCCTTTCTTTAAAAAAAAAATAAGAAAGCATGATATTCCAGTAAAATTAAACCCTCTGCTGTTCCTGTTTCGTTTTCAAAGTCCACGTTCACCTGATCCATTTTTTGCCGTGGCAAAGAAAGACGGCATGGATCGTACGCTTCTCGTTCGAATAAGTTCTCGATTAAAATGTTCTTTCTTTGCATGCGATTTTCTTTCTCGGCGTAACGTAGGAGAAGAGCAGAATTGAAACATGCTGTTCCCAAACAGTGAGTAACAAAGATAAAACCATTTTCATTTTAACACTGGTGTGTGTTGGTGTGTGTTTGCGTACACACACCCACGCATGTACATACATATATCCATCACACGGTTTGAGGGCGCCCCCTAGTGGCAGAATCCCATCCTTGCTTGATGCTCCTAGGAGCAAAGGCAAATGCCGGTGTTTTATTTTCCATTTAGGCAATTCCGAAAGAGAAACCGAGGCAGCTTTATCCTCTTGTCCAAAGAGAATAAGAATTACGTCCACATAATTCAAACCCACCCTGTGTCCTTCTGTAGAAAAAAAAAACCACCCTACCTAATTTAAAATAACTCATGGGAAGCTAACAACCTGCCTTTTGTCCTTGCGTTGGGTGTCGACACGGACAATTGACGAATCAATTAATTAACTAATTAACTAATAACCTAACTGCCTGTGTTAATGTCAGACAGGCTCCTTGAAAATTTTGCAGATCCGTGGCAGGGAGGATTGAAAAGGATCTTTTTTTAAAAAAAAGACAGGTAATCCTCAACGTACGATCACAATCGGGCCCGGGGTTTAGGCTGCTCAGTGAGACATTTGTTGCGTTTTGCCCCGTTTTATGACTTTTCTTGCCTCAGTTTGTTAAGTGAATCCCTGCAATCACAAGGTTGTTAATTGAATCTAGTTTGCCCCATCGACTTTGCTGGTTAGAGGGTCCCAACAGACGACCGTTTGAATCTCCCGGGACACTGCGACCGTCGTAAATAGGAAGCGTAAATAGGAAGCATCCAAATGTCAATCACGTGACCCTGGGGGAGGCTGCAATGGTCGTAAGTGTGAAGACCTTCTTCTTCTTCTTCTTCTTCTTCTTCTTCTTCTTCTTCTTCTTCTTCTTCTTCTTCTTCTTCTTCTTCTTCTTCTTCTTCTTCTTCTTCTTCTTCTTCTTCTTCTTCTTCTTCTTCTTCTTCTTCTTCTTCTTC